ATCCCAGGCAGACAGATTATGAGGTCAGGAGATCGAGACCATCCTGGCTAACATGGTGAAACCCCGTCTCTACTAAAAATACAAAAACATTAGCCAGGCGTGGCGGCATGCGCCTGTAGTCCCAGCTACTTGAGAGGCTGAGGCAGGAGAGTCGCTTGAACCCAGGAGGCGGAGGTTGCAGTGAGCCGAGATAGCGCCATTGCACTCCAATCTGGCAACAGAGCAAGACTGTGTCTCAAAAAGAGGGAAAAAAAGCCTCATACACATTAACATGCACACACATGGCCCCAACACACTCAGACTCTTCTGTTTTGTCTTCAGGGCAGGTCTGGCAACCACAGGATGTCCCGCCCATCCCCCTGCCCCCTGAGATGCCCCACTTGTTTTTCTGGTGCTGATCAAGTCCTCTCTGATATTTTCCCGTCTGCCGCTGGATTAACGGTTGTCAACATTTACTGCTGTATTTAGTGCCTACTCAGTGCCAGGCTCTACCCTGTCCACTTTACATGGTGCATCAATCAGGAGTGCATTAAGTAGCAGGTAACAGAAACCCCACCCAGCAGTTTAACCACATACATGTCTGCACCTCACTCAACAAGTAGACTCTGCAGCATCTCTGGGGCCAAGGCTCCTTCCTGCTTCACTGTCCTCCACACACAGCTTTTGGTCTTGGGGGCACAAGATGGCTGAGGGCTGCAAAAAGTCAGAGAATGGCACTTAGTCTGACCCCTTATTTGGAAAACAATGGCTTCCCCAAGGCCTCACCCAGGTGGCTCCCACAGTGCCCCACCAGCTGGGAAGGATGCAGAGGCATTTCTGATTGGTCCCATGTCCTCTAAAGAAAGGAGAATCCGGGGACCCTGAGTCCAGAAAGTCTGGCTTCTTTTCACCCTCTGTATTTGCTCTTATCTAGTCCTTATATCCAGAATGCCCTTTCTGCCAGCTGCAGCTACTGACCTCCTACCTCTCCAGAAAGCCCAGTTCAGATGCCCCCTCCTCCATGCAATCTTCCTAGATGGCTCCTCCAGAGTCCTCCCCACTTCTGAATCTGTTGGTCCTCTTGACTCCTACCCGCCTTGATCATTGCACCTGTCTGGACAGAGCCTGATGAGAATTCTAACTACCCAGAGGACTTTCCCAGCAGAATGAGTGTATGAGCACACAAATAAACCATGTGTTCTTGCTTTTAGGCCATGTTTATACTTTTCAATCTTGTTCAAGTCCTCCCCCCACTTTCAGTCCTCCCTCAGCCACTTTTACCTCCATGACAGCTGCTCCAGGGAGCAGAGCTCATGTCCCTGATGCCTTTCATTTGTGCTGTGTGACTCTGGCCACATCAGGGAGCATCTCTGAACCCACTTAGTTATCTGTCAAGTTAAAGACTATACTCTAAATTTCTTCTCACACTAAAAACCTCAACCACACTGGGATTCAAACCTTGGGGCAGGGGAAGGATTCTATCACATTCTTATCTTTCAGTTTAAAGGCAGTAAAATTGTTTTAGTGGAATTGACACAGCCATTGTTAAAGTTTTTATTAAATTAAATATATACAAAAGTGCATATATCAGGCTGGGTGCAGTGGCTCATGACTGTAATCCCAGCACTTTGGGAGGTCAAGGCAAACGGATCACAAGGTCAAGAGATCTGGACTATGCTGGCCAACATGGTAAAACCCTGTCTCTACTAAAAATACAAAAAATTATCTGGGCGTGGCAGTGCACACCTGTGGTGCCAGCTACTTGGGAAGCTGAAGCGGGAGAATCACTTGAACCCAGGAGGCAGAGGTTGCAGTGAGCCGACATTGCACCACTGCATTCCAGCCTGACAACAGAGTGAGACTCTGTCTCAAAAAATTAGAGTTCATATCTCTTTCTTTTTTTTTCTTTGAGACACAGCCTCACTCTGTTGCCCAGGCTGGAGTGCAGTGGCATGATCTCGGTTTACTGCAACCTCTGTCTCCTGGGTTCAGGAGACAGCCTTCGAGTAGCTGGGATCGTAGGCGCCTGCCACCACACCTGGCTAATTTTTGTATTTCTAGTAGAGATGGGGTTTCACATGTTGGCCAGGCTGGTCTTGAACTCCTGACCTTGTGATTTACCCACCTCCACCTCCTAAAGTGGATTACAGGGATGAGCCACTGTGCCCAGCCAAAAGTGCATGTATCTTAAGTGTCCAGCTTGGTTAATACTTATAAAGAGAATACACCCATGTAGTCACCACCCAGATCAAGACTTGGAATGTGACCGTCTCCTAAAGCTCCATGCCTCTCCAAGCACTGCTTCCCCTGGTTACTGTCACCATTCTGACTTGTTTTTTTTTTTTTTTTTTTTTTTTTTTTTTTTTTTTTTTTTTTTTTTTACCATTCTGACTTGTAACGGTACAGCATGGCTTGTCTAGATTTGGACCTTTTATGTTAATGGAGTCACATGGTATTGCACACGTTTATGACTGGCTTCTTTCACCGAACATTATGTCTGTGAGAGTCACTCACGTTGCATATCACTAGTTGTTCTTTTCCTTTACCCTATAGTATTCCAGTATACGAGTATACCACAATTTATCCATTATTCCATAAATGATGGATATTTGGGTAGTTTCCAGTTTGGGACAATTAAGAGTAAAGATACTATGAATTTTCTATTTGTGTCTTTCGGTGAACAACAGCCCTCATTTCACTCAGGTACACATCAGGAGTGGTGCTGCTGGGTCATGGAGCAGTGAGGTCAGCATGAGTAGCCACTACTGGGCTTGCTGTTTTAGATGATGTCTGAGCTGTCAGGGGTAGACATTCCTACTGTACCCAGAACAGACTCTCAGAAGCATGAGTTGGACCCAGGAGAGCCCAGTGGCCAAGGAAAAGGGATCTCCCAGGGCATACCCACAAGCAGCCTCCAGCAAAACCTTCAAGCTAAACCCCCAATCCCACCAGGCTGAGGAAACCCTCCATGCTACCACCTCCATCTGGGTCTCCCATTGTCCTCTGGAGTAGTGGCTCAAGCCAGCCTCACTGCTGTGTCCTCCACACACCTAACGATGCCAGCCCTCTAGTGGTCAGAAACTTGGTGTCGACTCACTGCCTAAGGAATGGACAGAGGCTGGGATACTGTGTTCCAGATGCCAGGTGGCCCCCAGCAACCAGAGCCCTCTCCTTGCTAGCTCTCTGCTGTAATCAGCTGGTAGACACAAGCCCCGGCTGAGAGCAATAGGGACCAGGAATTGTGCCAACATCACTTCTCAGCCTCATAGCCTGATGTATGCAATATCAGCCTGGTCTGTGGATGCACATCTAGGAAGCAGATGCCCCACACGTGCACTGGCCAGGACCACAAAGATGCTCAGGACACAGGCAGGAAGGGGCGCACTGAGGAGATGTGGGATAGACGAGGGGAGCTTCCGGACAAATCCTGGGTCCTCCTTTAGTGGAACCACATCTAATTCACAGGAATTCATCCAATCCATTATTTGTAACCCACGCTCTGAAGTTGCCAAACTCAAAGAGTGCATTCTGTGCATTTACCTGGAAGTGTGAAGGCCCCACAGCATCTGGGCCTGCCGTGATACACACATATTTATGTGTTGTCACATGCCTTGGCCAGGCCCTGGCCACCTGCAGCTTCCCTTCAGCCACCTCCTAACCTACCCTGGGTCCTATGACTTAAGGGGCCCAGAGTGCACTTTCTTAGGGGGTGCTGGCTCTAGGATCCCTGCCTGGGCCACTCTGTCCTGTTCTTTCTTGTCGCCAAAGAGCATGTTCAAGCTGGCTCTAGTCCTGTGTTGTGCATGGCCCTGGGGAGTGAAGATGGGAGCCATCTGCACTATTGGTCAGACCTTCACAGTGGTGCAAAGGTCGCAGCTGAATGCCAATGGTAGCCTGAGCATGAAGGCTTCCTCCCATTTGGTCTGAGTATATATCTGCAACAGCAATTAAAAGGACAGGAATGGCGAGGTGCAGAGACTCACACCTGTAATCCTAGCACTTTGGGGAGGAAGGAGCAGGAGGATCACCTGAGACCAGGAGTTCGAGACCAGCCTGGGTAATACAGTGAGACATTATCTCTAAAAAAAAAAAAATCTAAATTAGCTAGGTATGTTGGAGCCTGCCTGTAGTCCCAGCTATTCCAGGGACTGAGGCAGGAGCATTGCTGTGGGGAGGGGTGTGGAGGCTGCAAAATAAAGGCCAGAAAGGGGGATTCTATGCTGGGAGAACAGTCAGTGGGGGAGGCTCCGAGGCACATCTGGGGGACAAGGCTGAAGCCATTCACATGCCAAGAGGTGAAGGAGGTATACCTTCATGGTCGCGGTGGCGGTGGTAGTGGTTGGAGGAACATGCAAGGGCAGGCCTTGTGGAGCCCCAAACACCTCTGGGCCAAGACTCCAAGACTGGGCTTTTACCCCATTGTGAGGCTCTAGAGATTAGTGCCAGAGTGCCCCTTTTAGGTTTACGGTATAAACCTCTTTCCTGTTGTTCTGATGGCCTTCAGTCAAGAAGGGGGCTTGCTCGTCAGTCCTACTAAGCGTTAGCCCTGGGCGACACTCTACAGGCTTTTACTGGGGTCCAATGAAGTGACAAATCTGCCAGGGACACACAGTGACAGAGTCCGAAGCAGCGTTCAAACCGTTCTGCGCTGAACCGAATGCGGGAATTAACTCGCTGCAAGAACCCACATCAGAATCTGTGCAAAATACACATATTTGTATTTAAAATCTGCGCAAAATACACATATTTCCCTCCAAAGTCATAATTTCCGGGGGTACAGGCCAGGAATGTACATTCGAACACGTGCCCCAGTGATTCTCACGCATGTTGGTCAAGTAAGAACCCAGCCCGCGGCCCAAAGCTGCGCGGCCCGGCCTAGGTCCACCCGCCGCCCGCCCCCGAGCGACCGAAGGCAGCAGATGACGCGCCTCGCCCTCCCGGGACAACGAGGCCCCGGCCTCTTCCGCAGACTCCGCGCTCCGGACCGCGGCGCCCCCTCGCGGCCACCGGGTTCGGCAGCCTGGGGCTCGGTTGGTCAGGGCTTCCAGCTGGGACGCTTCGAGCCCGCACCGGAAGTGCCCAGCGTGGTTCCCGCCGGCAGCTCGGGGCCGGAGGGTTTCAGTCCCACCGCGAGGCCGACCCAAGCCCAGGGTTCAAGAGTCAGCACATGCCGCCCGCGCATGGCTCCCGCAACGCCGCCCTGGACGTGACCACGACAGCGCCAGCGGCGCGGGCGCCCGCTACCGACGTGCGCCCGCTACCGACGTGCGCAGGCGCCCATGGGCTGCGCAGCCGCCATTGCTCTCCTGCCTCCAAGCGGAGCGCTTGTTAGCAGTCGGCGGGCCTGGACTGAAGGCTGAGTGCGACGCCTCGACGACAGCGGCCCGGAGCTGCAGGAGCAACACACTTAGGGCGGGGTGCCCCGTTTAGGCCTGGCTGACTGGAGTAAGAAACTACAACCCCCCAAGTGCATTGCGCCGCAGGGTTGCGGAGCCAGTGACGTAAGCTGTCTTGACCGCTACCATTTCTCTGGTGGAGGGGGGACGCGGCGGCGCGGAGTAATGACGGGCTCTGCTTGCGGCTGGAGGGTCGCGGATGTCAGCGTCCGGGTGCTGGGCTTAGGTTCTGGAAGTGCCTTTGCGAACCTGCTATTTGACCAGTTTAAACTGACGGTCTGTTTAGCCTCAGCTGCAGATACCCACTGACTGTGTACCCGCCGCCTTTCAACCCCCGGGCCGGCCACTGAGCCAGCCAGATAACCATTGCTGTTGTTTAGTCTTTATTTCGAAACAGTTTCAAGTAACTCCTGTATACACTTTGATCAGAGTCACGGGTTTTTAACTTCCTTAGCCCCATCTACCTTATCATTTCCTCTGTCCTCGCTGCCGTTTTTCTTCCCTGGACCACGTAGTTGCACATTGTCTAAAAACAAGGACATGGTCCTGCATTCAAAGTCGGGTAACATTGATCAAGACTTTTTCTTTTTCTTTTTATTTTTTATTTATTTATTTATTTATTTTGAGACGGAGTTTCGCTCTTGTTACCCAGGCTGGAGTGCAATGGCGCGATCTCGGCTCACCGCAACCTCCGCCTCCTGGGTTCAGGCAATTCTCCTGCCTCAGCCTCCTGAGTAGCTGGGATTACAGGCACGAGCCACCATGCCCACCTAATTTTTTTGTATTTTTAGTAGAGACGGGGTTTCACCATGTTGACCAGGATGGTCTCGATCTCCTGACCTCGTGATCCACCCGCCTCAGCCTCCCAAAGTGCTGGGATTACAGGCTTGAGCCACCGCGCCCGGCTGATCAAGACTTTTTCTGACCCATAGTCCACTTTTAAATGTTTTCTGTTGTCTTAATAATGCGCTTTATGGAAATTTTCCTTCTTCCTTCCCTCCCTCCCTCCTCCTTTATTCCTTCTTTCCTCCCTCCCTCCCATCTTTTTTTTGACGGAGTCTTCCGCTGTCGCCGAGGCGGAAGTGCAGTTGTACAATCTAGGCTCACTGCAGCCTCTCCTCCCGGGTTGAAGCGATCCTCTGGCCTCAGCCTCCCAAGTAGCTGGGGTTACAAGCATGGGCCACCATGCCCGGCTAATTTATCTTTAGTAGAGACGGAGTTTCACCATGTTTGCAGGCTGGTGTCGAACCCCTGACCTCAAGTGATCCACCTGCCTAGATCTCCCAAGGTGCTGGGATTACAGGCCTGAGCCACTACACCTGGCCCAAATACCCTTTTTATGGTCCAGGACCCGATCCAGGAGCACACGTTGCATTCAGCTGTCCAGTCGCTTTAGTCTCATTCAGTCTGGAGCAGCTCCTCAGGTTTTCCATTACCTCATGACCTTGATGCTTTTGAAGATTCCTGGCCAGTTGTTTTGTAGAACAAGGTTTAGGGTTGTCTGTGGTTTTTATTTGCCTTTTTCTTTCTTTCTTTCTTTCTTTCTTTTTTTTTTTTTTTAGTTTAGGCCTAGTCTGCTTATATATGTCTGAGGTTTCTTTACCACTGGACTCTTAGGTATTATTTTGATGCTGTTAGTCAAAGTGTCCAGCCTCACCGGGCTCTGGATACACTCCCAGACACTGCCAGGTCAGCTCCTTCCTGTGGGTGCTTCTCCTGCTCGGGTCACTCTTACCTTACCAAGATCTCTGACTTCCCTGTAGCACCCACTCTGGAGCCATGGTCCACGCCTTCCTCATTCACACCTTGAGGGCCCCAAATACCGAGGACACAGGCCTTTGCCGAGTGCTCTACTCCTGTGTCTTTGGTGCTGAGAAATCACCTGATGACCCGCGGCCACATGGTGCTGAGAGGGACAGGCTTCTCCGGAAGGAACAGATTTTAGCTGTGGCCAGGTAACGACATAGCCCCAGGCCTTCACCAAACATGTGCCTGATTGTAATAGGTATTCTGGGGGAGTGGGGACACAGAGGAGTAGGAGGACTAAGAGAGAAGGTTTTAGAGTAGCATTTTCCAGAGAGTCTTCCATGGCTGTTCATAAGTGTTACGTGAAAAGGGTTAAATAATAATTCTATGATCATCATTAGTACAGTTAACATTTGTTCGGCCTGTAAGTGCTAAACATTTATGTTCTGAACATCTTATGTATATTAACTCGTTTAGCCTCATAATAGTCTTTTGAGGTAGGTATATTTATTATCTTACAGATGAGTAGAGTGTTTAAGGAATTTAACCTGTCCAGGGTTATGCAGCTAGGAAGTAGCAGAACTTAAGATTTGAGAGTAGGCAGGCAGATAGTACAGGTTAAACATGTTTTTCAGTGCAGTACTTAACAGGACCCTTAGTATGCCTGTAGACTTTATGAATCTCTAAGGAAGAGAGAGGGTGTGGTACATGAGGATTCCAGAAAGCCAGTGATCCAGAGCCCAGTTTGGAATATTCTGTTCCTGACTAGATGCTCAACCTTGGATCTCTGGAAGGTGATTCAGGAAAGATCAAAGGGAGCTTTTTCTTCTTCTTCTTTTTTTTTTGTTTTTGAGGTGGAGTCTTGCTCTGTCACCCAGACTGGAGTACAGTGGTGCGATCTTGGCTCACTACAACCTCTGTCTCTGGTTTCAAGCAATTCTCCTGCCTCAGCCTCCTGAGTAGCTGGGTTTACAGGCACCCACTACCACACCTGGCTAATTTTTACATTTTTAGTAGAGATAGGGTTTCATCTTGTTGGCCGGGCTGGTCTTGAACTCCTGACCTCAGGTGATCCGCCTACCTCAGCCTCCCAGCATGCTGGGATTACAGGTGTGAGCCACTGCACCCGGCCAAAGGGAGCTTCTGAGAAGCCTTGTTGGTCCAATGGAAGGTCTTTCTTTATTACTTGGAGAGGGTGGCAGGATAGGACGAGGGTGGATATTGGATAGCCCATGTTGGGTGATGGCATTTATTTTCCACCTCATCCCCTACTTTCCTTTATGTGGAGAAGGCCTCTGTGAAGCAGATGAGGGCAGGATCTTCCTCTGGTGCCCTTTTTCAGTCCAAGGAGCTGGGTTGAAAACCTGCCTTCTTGGCTACACGGAATAAAGTAGTTCAGGACCTGGAGGCTCACACTTCCTGATTCTGTGGCCCTGGACAGATCACTTAGTCTCTCTAGGCCTCAGTTTTCTCACCTGAGATAATGGGGATGATGGTAGCTCCCAGCGCCAGGTGTGGTCGTGAGGATGACAGAGTTGGCATGTGAGCCCCCTAGCCTAACCTGCCCACTCTCCCCAGGCAGGTGGAGTCAATGTGCCGGCTGCAGCAGCAGGCATCCGGCCGGCCCTCCATGGACCTGCAGCCGCAGTCCTCAGATGAGCAAGTGCCCCTGCACGAGGCCCCACGTGGGGCCTTCCGCCTGGCAGCAGGGGACCCTTTTCAGGAGCCACGGACGGTGGTGTGGCTGGGCGTGCTCTCATTAGGCTTTGCCCTGGTGCTGGACGCCCACGAGAACCTGCTGCTGGCTGAGGGCACACTCCGGCTGCTGGCACGCCTCCTCCTTGACCACCTCCGGCTACTGGCACCCAGCACCAACCTCCTGCTGCGGGCTGACCGCATCGAGGGCATCCTCACCCGCTTCCTGCCCCATGGTCAGCTACTTTTCCTCAACGACCAGTTTGTCCAAGGCCTGGAGAAGGAATTCAGTGCTGCTTGGCCCCGCTGATTCCTCATTGGGATGATGCTTCGGAGGGCAGGCAGAGGGTGGACACACAGCCAGATGAAGCTTGGCCTCTGTCTCCTGCCCAGCCTGCTCCCAGCTCTGATGTGCTGCTATACCAGGACAAGTAGGGGGCACAAAGGAGGAGGCTGCAGAAAGGAGGCTGGGCAGAGGGCGGAGGAAGTCCTGTCTGTCCTCAGGTTAGTGGAACCACAGAACATCCCGAGCCTAGAGCTGCTATGTAACTTAGACCACTGCAGTGCGGCAGCCATGCTTGTCCTTGACCCCAGCTTCCTCCACCCCCAACAGCCACTAGTGGTAGGGTGAGGAGCTGCCTGGAACTCAGCCCACCTTCTCCTTCCAAACCCACAGTCAAGGCCAGGCATAGTGGCTCATGCCTGTAATCCCAGCACTTTTGGAGGCCGAGGCGGGTGGATCACAAGGTCAGGCGTTTGAGACCAGTGAAACCCCATCTCTACTAAAAATACAAAATTTAGCTGAGTGTGTGGTGCACACCTGTAGTCCCAGCTACTTGGCCAACATAGTGAAACCCCATCTCTACTAAAAATACAAAAATTAGCCAGGTGTGTGGTGCACACCTGTAGTCCCAGATACTTGGGAGGCTGAGGTGGGAGAATCTTGTGAACCCAGGAGGCAGAGGTTGCAGTGAGCCGAGATCATGCCATTGCGCTCCAGCCTGGATGACAGTGTGAGACTCCACCTCAAAAACAAAACTAAAAAAGCCACAGTCATTGCAACACAAAAGGGGTCTCAGATTCCCCTGAGAGTGGAGGAGCTGTGCCTACATGCTGGAGACTGCAGCCCCTGCCTTTGTGCCGCTTAGGCAGTATTATCAACAAGGTCCTACTCAGTGTCCAGCCCTCACAGAGTTCAGAAACACATCCGCTGATCAGCAGCAGAATTCTGCAGCTCCTTTTGTGCCAAGCCCATGCTCACCAGGCAGGCTGGAGATAAAACCATCATGGGCTTCCCTCATCTGCAGGGAGAGAAGATGCCATCAGGGGATTGTGAGAGGTCTGCCCTAGATAATGTATTTCTCATTTTGAATTAAAAGCACCGGCTATGTGATTTCACCCTCTCTTTCTGTGAGTTTGATGTGTGCATCCTGCTCCTATGAGTGAGTGCCTCTCTGGATGGCCCCCAAGCTGGGTGTCTGAGCCTTCATGGTCAAGGATCCCCCTAGGAGGCCTCCCTCTTTCATCCCCACCTCATCTCTGTCTCCTTAGAGGCCTCTTTTGGATGGTGGTACATACTTACTCTACCAAAATATATATCACAGGTGGCAGGTGACTGTGGCAGAGTCACCTGAGAAGCAGAGCCTGAGCCAAGAATTGGTACAAGTGGGTTACGTGGGGTGGGAGGTAATCCCGTGAAACAGGAAGGGGCGGCAGTCCACGTGAGTGCTTGTTAAGCCTGTTAGGACTGTGGTAGGGAGCCGAGTGCCTCCGGGCGCCTGCACGCAGCAGTTGTCTCTGAATTACCTCACCTGAGGGGTGGCAGCTGTGGGTGTTTGCCGACTGCTGCCTTTAGTCAGTGGTTACAGGTTGATCCCAGGGTGCATACGTTCTCTGGCTCTTTCTGCCCCTGGGAAAAAGCCCTCAGGCAACGTGGACCTGGACCTGCCTGTACCATGTTGAGTCCCAAAGGGATATGGATGGGGTAACAAACCCTGGTTGGTCAGTTGGTCATTAGATGGTCTTCAATCAGCAGCTTCTAGTGAGGATTTAAACTTACTCAGTTGAGGGGGAAAACCCACCTCAATTTACATTGGTTTTCATTATTCCTGTTACCAAGGAAGGTGAGCCTTTCTTGGCAGAACGAGCCTCTGTGGTCAGCTCCGTCTCATGCTTGCCACCTATCAGTTGCCCTTTAGCACCCAGGACAGACCCACCTATACCCACTTAGGAGGCAGCACTGATGATTAGCCCTTTCAAGTCCATGGCCAAGACCACCAGCCATGCCACACCTTCTACCATTACTGTCACCATAATTAGGATAAGGCCACCTTTTCCATTTTATAGTGCCACAAACCACCTTGACCTTGAAGACTTAAGGGAATGTTACTCTGTGTGTGATCAAGTCCCAGTGGAAATGTCCCAATGTCCCCTAGTAGGGACACCCCTTGGTATACATTCTGTTCTCCTGGCCCACCCCTCCCACCCCACTCCCCAGATTGGTGGTCCTGGTGGATTGGCTGTGTTCTCATGGGAACAGGCCATTTTGGCCTCTATGGAAGGGCTCAAGCTTACTGATCTGCCTATTTTTCTTTTTCTTTCTTTCTTTCTTTTTTTTTTTAAGACTAGTTGAGTGCAGTAGTGAGAAGCAGGGAAAGAGTAGAACAGGAGTTCGATCTGTAATTGACTGTGAACAATCGAGATAACGCACTACCTTCAGACCAGCCTGATCTATTTATTTTTCAAACTGAACTGAAGGAAGAGGTTGAGACCCTGCTCCCCCAGGAGCTGTGGGAAGTTGAGGTTAGGCATAGCTGGTGGCCTGGTTCCCGTGAGGTGGGGCAAACTGAGAGAATAGTAGAGACTGAGACCACACCCTGGAGCTGCTGAGTTCCAGTTCCTATTGTTCCAGATGCCCGGTTGGATCAGGCCTTCCTTAACCAGATGAGCTTGCCCAGGACCCTTCCCACACTTCCTGCTTCTGCCCCAGCCCCTCGGGCTGGGTTTCCACTACAACTTATGTTCACCTTATATTCATCGAGCCTCCCTTGGGCCTGATGCTCTGCTGGGTGCAATGCAGGATACAGAATGTCTCCAGGGTTCCAGGAGAGACGCAGCTAAGGCCAAGTGACTGCAGATGACTGTAAAGCAGCAGTGGATTGCGCATCCCCGAATTGGCGCTCACAAGGCTTTAAACACCCAAAAGGAAGAATGGGCACTTTAGTGAGGAAGGCCTAGTGAAGGAGCCAGGATTTAGAAGTAAAAGTGAGATGGCTGCAGAAGCAAACTTGCTTCCATCTCCAAGCCTCCTCCCTTTCCTCTCCCTGCCCCAGGAACCCTGGCCAAACCACATGTCCCTCAGCTTCCTGAGAGAACTAGAGACTTTGAGCAGCTGGTAGTGTTACCATCGTACCTCCACAAACACTCCTGGGACAACAGGAGATGACAGGAGGGCAGTAGAGCCCAGAGAAGAGAGCTTACCTGAAGGGAGGAAGAAGTCACAGGTTTTAAGCCAGGAACTGGTCTGCATATTTGTGGAGTTGGGAGGATGGTGAGCCCTGGGATGGGATTAGATCATCACGTCTCCTTTAGGGCAGGGGTGTTTTTTTCTAGCCCTGTCCAGCATCCCCCCAGACCTCTTTTTATCTTTCTTTCTTTTTTTTTTTTTGATGAGATGGGGTCTCAGTCTGTCACTCAGGCTGGAGTGCAGTGGTGCAGTCTTGGGTCACTGCCACCTTTGCCTCCTGGGTTCCAGCAATTCTGCCTCAGCCTCCCAAGTAGCTGGGATTACAAGGGTACGCCACCATGCCTGGCTAATTTTTTTTTCTTTTTGAGAGCAGAGTCTTGCTCTGTCACCCAGGCTGGAGTGCAGTGGCACAATCTCAGCTCACTGCAACCTCTGCCTATGGGGTTCAGGCGATTCTTCTGCCTCAGCCTCCCGAGTAGCTGGGGCTATAGGCGTGCGCCAGCACACCTGGCCAATGTTCATATTTTTAGTAGAGACAGGGTTTCACCATATCGACCAGGCTGGTGTTGAACTCCTGACCTGAGTGACCCACCTGCTTCGGCCTCCCAAAGTGCTGGGATTACAGGAATGAGCCACTGTGCCCGGCTGGCTTTTGGCCATTCTAATAGGTGTATAGTGAAATCTTGTTTTAATTTGCAGTTCCCTAATAACAGGATGTAGAGTATTTTTTTCTGTGCTTATTTTCCATCTGTAAATCTTCAGTGAGGTGTCTGTTCAAGTCTTTTTTCCATTTTAAAACAGGCAGTTTGTTTGGGTGATTTGTTTTCTTTTCACTGAGTTTTAAGAGTTCTTTGTATATTTTGGATAACAGCACTTTATCAGGTATATCTTTTGCAAATATTTTCTCCCAGTCTGTGGCTTGTCTTCTCATTCTTTTGACAGTGTCTTTCACAAAGCAGAGCTTTTTACTTTTAATGAAGTCCAGTTTCATATAATTTAATGATGTGGGCCAGGCGTAGTGGCTCATGAAGCCTGTAATCCCAGCACTTTGGGAGGCCAAGGTAGGAGGATTGCTTAAGCCCAGGAGTTTGAAACCAGTTTGTGCAACATAGATACTTTGTCTCTACAAAGATAGAAAAATTGGCAGAGTGTGGTGCACACCTGTGGTCCCAGCTACTTGAGAGGCTATCAAAGAATTGCTTAAGCCCAGGAGGTCAAGGCTGCACTGAGCTGTGATTATGCCACTGTACTCCAACCTGGATGACAGAGCAAGACCTTGCCTCCAAAAAAAAAAAAAGTAATGAAGCTTGTCAGTTTTTTTTGTTAGTTTGTTTTTGAGACAAAGTCTCACTCTATCGCCCAGACTGGAGTGCAGTGACGCAATCTCTGCTCACTACAGCCTGTGCCTCTGGGGTTCCAACAATTCTCCTGCCTCAGCCTCCTTAGTAGCTAGGACTACAGGTGTGCGCCACCACACCCAGCTAATTTTTGTGTTCTTAGTAGAGACAGGGTTTCACCATGTTGGCCAGGATGGTCTCGATCTCCTGACCTTGTGATCCATCCACCTCAGCCTCCCAAAGTGCTAGGATTACAGGCAGGAGCCACCTGTCAATTTTTTTTTTTTTTTCTGAGGTGTGCCCACCTGTCAATTTTTTTTTTTTTTTCCTGAAGCGGAATTTCACTTTTGTTGCCGAGGCTGGAGTGCAATGGCATGATCTCAGCTCGCCACAACCTCTGCCTTGCAGGTTCAAGCGATTCTCCTGCCTCAGCCTCCCAAGTAGCTGGGACTACGGGCATGAGCCACTGCACTCGGCCGCCATGCTATCTTGATTACTATAACTTTATAGTGAGTCTTGAAGTCAGGCAGTGTCAGTCTCCAACTTTCTTCTTCATATATATGTAAATATATGTATGTGTGTGTGTGTATTTTTTTTTTTTTTTTTGGAGACAGGGTCTTTGTCACCCAGGCAGGCTTGAGTACAGTAGTGTGATCATAGCTCACTGTAGCCTGGAAGTCCCTGGCTCAAGCGATCCTCTCACCACAGACATGCACCACCACACCCAGCTAAATGTTAAATATTTTGTAGAGACAGGGTTTTGCTATGTCATCCAGGCTGGCCTTGAACTCCTAAGCTCAAGTAATCCTCCCACCTTGGCCTTTGAAAGTGGGCAATGTGGTTTTAATATCAAATTGCACTTGCTGGCTGGGCACAGTGGCTCACATCTATAATCCCAGCACTTTGGGAGGCTGAGGCAGGTGGATC